CGAGTGGGAAGTTCCCGAGCACATTCTCCCATTTCATAATTTGTTACCACCAGCAGTTGAACCGCGTGGTCCTGGACGTCCAAGTACATCTAGAATACCATCTACCGGAGAGTTTCCTCGATCGCGTAGGTGTGGCCGGTGCAAAGCCGTAGGGCATACTCGGCAATTTTGTACCAGTCAAATTCCCCTAAATGACGACTAGACAGGTACGTGAAATGAATAATATTTCGTTTTACTTTACACTGTTCAATATTTGTTATTTATAAATCTTCCATATTCAATATTTATTCTCTATAAATGGTATTTATAATGATTCATATGAAAAAAATAGTTCCATACTCGGCATACGGGTAAAATAATAAAAAATAATTAAATTTCCAATTTGAATGTTATATACATTGACACAAATTTACAATTATTTCATAATTACAAAAATAATTAAATTTCCAATTTGAATATTATATACATTGAAAACAAATTTACAATTATTTCATAATTACAAAAATAATTAAATTTACAATTGAAATGTTATATACATTGAACACAAATTTACAATTATTTCATAATTACAAAAATAAATAAATTTACAATTGAAATGTTACATATATATAAATGAAATTTACGGGTCAGCATTAAATTCGAACACATGCTAGCTTCTTCCTCCAGTTCTGTATCCACGACTGGTTGATTCCATCAACCTTATGTCCTATACTTAAAAATTCAACGTACTTAATGGCAAATATGCCGCAGTCGCCGCTGTAATTGAATGAGAATGAATCAGTTCAGTACTGTGTAAATAAAAATTAAATCTGAAAGATGAAAACAACAAAGTTCAAACACTTACCTTACGGACTGTCTCGCTGTCGTCGTATTCCGAACGATCTGCAATCTGTCCTGTACATTTATCCCCACTCGTCTTGCCATCATAGGAACAATTACAGCCACGGACTCCAAGTTTTGCTCCAACTGGCCTTGTGTCAAACATGAATGATTTGGGTCGTACACATATATAATCGAGTTAGCAAAAACGATCTCTAGCGTAACATAGTGTTTATTGATGCACGCTGGAATGTACATATGTGTACAACCCTCCCATGATTTTCCCCCGACACTCGATGACAGTCCTATCACCCACTCGAGCATATATTTTGGCACCGTGTACTCGTTACCCATAAGTTCAAGCGACTGATACTCTATGGTACGGCACCCAGGAACTCGGTGTTTAATATGACTCGACCATGGACATCAAATGATTTTGGGTGTCTTTGAGCTCGATCTCGCAGCAAGTCCATGGCTAGGTTGATGTGTTGCAGCAGGAAATACCAAAAAAATATGAGTTATTCATTTAATAAATACAAGGTTACATATACATAAAAAACACGAAATGAATAGTTCACTTACATCGTCAGCGAACCAAGCTCCCGCAGTGGTGATATCGTGGAACCACTTGTAAGGGTCCGAAACTGTCCTTTGTCCTATCGTGCGGCTAACTCTGTAAAAAAGAGGGAAATGTTAAAATAAGCGTAGACGAGTTAGCGTACAGTGCTTTATTAAAATCATACAATACTTACCCGGGGATAATTCTCCTCCACTCTGTCTCGAACGCTTTCCACTTGGCATTGTCCACCTCTCTGAATAAGTTCAGGTACGTCCCATCGATGAACGTCCTCCTCTTCGCCTCAGCCGTGAAGGGGGAAACAACATACTGTGACGGCACTCTCAACTTCTTACCGACCACCTGCTCCGTCTCGTCAACAGCATGTCTCTTACCCTCAATCACGCTGGGTGTCCTCTCGACCTCTGGGGCCACCTCCTCCGCCCCTCCCGTAGGGGCCTCCCCCTCCATCGCCACCTCCTCCGCCCCTCCCGTTGGGGCCACCCCCTCCGTAGTCCCCTCTCCTATCCCCATCGGGGCCACCCCCTCCATAGACAACCACAATGACTCCAATGTCTCATCATGCCAAAAATGTGGGTGACCCCCCTCTCCATCACCATCTCTGCCACCCTCTCGATCATGATCTCCGCCATCCCCTCTGTCCCCCCATCGTCTGCAGGCTAAATCTCCTCTAAGCGCCGCTACTGTATCCTGAAGGTCGACAACGGAAGACTGTAGTATTCCAACTCATGGGATAGATCGTCAACCCTCCCTGTCAACTCTCGTCCCATATCGTCGACCCTCCCTGTCAGATAGTCAACCCTCCCTGCCAGATCGTCGACCCTCCCTGTCAACTCTCGTCCCAGATCATCGACCCTCTCCGTCAAATCTCGTCGTAGCGAGCCGACCTCCTCCGCTATAAATCCAGTCAAACGGGCATACAAATCATCACTGTGCCTCGGAGACACACGAGGGAAGTGTCTGGACGGAGGTGATGCCAATGGCGGCGGCGATGGCCCCGGCGAAGGTGATGCCACTTGCGACGGTGATGCCTCGACGGGGGTGATGCCAATGGCGGGGACGATACTCTCGACGGAGGTGATGCCAATGGTGGTGGTAATGCCCTCGGCGGAGGTGATCGTCGATCAGCTAGACCGCCCTCCTACATAAATAAAATGAAAAATTATTCAATAAATTTATACGTCGATGATATTCAATAAATTATATTTCATTCACATACCCAATATCGGTCCAAGCTCAAATCAGACATCTCCTCGTCTGAGGTGTGCGGAACGCCTAAATCCCGCACAAGACCTCGAGCCTCCTCTTCCATCGATGGCGTCAATTCAGGTATAACTTCAAGCTGACATATTGACATTTCAACTACTTAACGATCATGTAAACAAAATTTTAAACTACGTATAATATAAATCACAAATGCATAATACTTACCTGAGGATTGTCGAGGAGGGTTGATAACTGCTTCCCAGTGGGACATCCCTCTGCTCGCGATGATCTCCAATGATGCATCCAAGGACAGCGTGTCTCCCCTCACTACGCAAGGCGGGCCCCTAGTACAAGAACTGTCTCATACACCCAAATCTGTAACGCATACACTTATTAAGCATCAATGTAATACACTAAAATTTTAACTTTGATTATATTAAATATTTACCTGCACCGCTAACGGCAATCCATATGTATCGTATTTACGCATCGACCCCCTGGGCCTCGAGTGCGATCTGGTGAACATATGTACGGTGTCTTCGAAGCATTTTCGGCCCCACGGATAGTTGTTGAACGCATCGATGTCGTCAACAACTTGCAAATGAAAAATGTCGATGATAGTCTTCTTGTGATGACATCTCATCACACTCTCGAGGATGTAGACCAGCCCAAACTTCAATCTATCTAGCATATGGTCACACCCCCTGATCGCGACCATCAAGTCGGGTAGAAGCACCGACCCATGTCCCTGGAAGTACGTCTCATACAGCCTATTGCTTCTCTCCATGACTGCATCGTCGCCCGTAATCCTTAGTCCAGCGATCAATGTAAACTCAAATATCGAGAAACTGACGACCTTGCCCCTGAGGTCGAACTGGAGGGAATCGCCGTCGACTGGCCTCAGAAGCCGACATAGAAGTGCAAACTAAAGAATATAAATATTATTTAAATAAATTGAAAAAAAATCAAAGATTTTCATAAAAGAACAATAAAAGGAACAAAACAAATTGTTAATTTCGAACAATATTATGTATTTAGTTATTAAATTATATAAAAAAAGAAATTATAAAAATTAAATAATTAAATAAAATAATTATTATTTGGAAAATATATTTACAAACAAAAAATTTCAAATTAAATACATTTTCGAAAAATGTAAAGACTATTTATATTATTTAAATAAATTTGAAAAAATAAATTAAAGATTATTTCATAAAAAAAAAAAAGGAACAACACAAAATTGTTAATTTTAGAATATTTCAATTATTAAATTATATAAAAGACAAATATAAAAATTAAATAAATAATTACTTTACATTTTTTCAAAAAATGTAAAGTCCATTTATATTATTTAAATAAATTTGAAAAAATAAATTAAAGATTATATCATTAAAAAAAAAGAATCAACATTGTTAATTTTAGAATATTTCAATTATTAAGTTATATAAAAGACAAATATAAAAATTAAATAAATAATTACTTTACGTTTTTTAAAATGTAAAGACTATTCATATTATTTAAATAAATTTGAAAAAATAAATTAAAGATAATTTCATAAAAAAAAGAATCAACATTGTTAATTTTACAATATTTCAATTATTATATTATATTGAAAATGATAAAAAGTTAAATAAATAAATAACATAATTACTATTTAATCAAATAAAAAATTTAAAATTTATATACAGTCTGGGCCGTTAACAGTCGGCCCAGACTAACCCAGACTGTTAACAGTCGGTTTACCCGACTATTAACAGTCGGGTAAGCCGACTGTTAACCGACCGTGGCCGGGAATCAGCCGAAAATCGCCATTCCCGACCACTGAGCTCCAAAAAAATGTAATAATCCACATTTTTCACACTCTCACATGCCCACAATCTAACTACTTATGCCCATGGATCTAATTAAACCGAAATTAGTAAGGAAAATGCTATAAACTTGCACATGAACCGCATTAACTGGAGAAAAGTGATGAAAACTAACCGGTTATTTTATTTTCGATGTAGATGATGGTCGTTGCCAGTGGTGTCGGTGTCGGTCGGTCAAGTTTCTGGAGTCGATGTCGGTCGGTCGGTGAAGTTTCTGGAGTCGATGTCGGTCGGTCGGTCAGAGATTTTCAAACAGTGTGAAGGGTAAAATGGCCTTTTACTGTGAAATTTTTTTTTTAACTTACTTTTTTTTTTAATTCATTTAATGGGTTAAAGGCCAATGTCAAATTTTACTACAGTGGAAGAGCTATTTTCGTGTATTTCCTCATCTCAAGGTTAGGTTGTTAGAAAACCTCAATCTTGGAATTCGATTGATTAGTGTTCGTATTAAGAGTATAGCAAACTATTTGCTATGGTATATATGTTGTAGTCCTACGTCTCAAAATCCCACATTCCTTACAGAAATTGTTGAACTCTAAATCCATTGTCAGTTTTAAGTATTTTTACCCCTTTGCTTGAAGTTGTGAAAGGTTCTGGTCTCGACTTTAATAGGCTGAATGTGTCCACTGGTAAAATGATAAAAACCTATTATATCGCTAGTATCTCAAATTCCTGTGGTGGTTACTCTGATGTTTTCTATAACGTCAAGGCTCATTTGCGAGCCTTGAAAATGGTGGCAATTGTTGTTTTCCTAGAGGTTTTTTGCTGTGGTTTTTTGAACTTAGATGACGATTGACTTGCTTCTTAGTAATTGTGGTGGGGAACTTTTCTATTGTTAAATTGTTACATATGATATTGATTAGGCATATGACCAGTTTCTGTGATCCGTGACCTATTGATATGGATATGTGATCCACGCACTATGACATGCGACTTGTGAAATTTTACCTATGACCTGAGACACGTAATTTGTTACTTGTAGCGTTGATCCAATGGCCCGTGATCGGTTCTCTTGAATTTGTGACATATGAATATTGATCTGTTACTTATGCAATATGACTTGTGATCTATGGATTGTCACATGTGACTTATAACATAAATTGTGAAATGCGAACTTGAATCTCTAACTTGTTATCATTGCATAAAGACATGTGACATCTTATCTCTGATCAGTTAATTTTGATCCGTGACCTATACAATATAACTTGTTATGTATGAAGTGTGACTTGTGAATCTAAAATGCAACCGGTTATATTTGATCTGAAACATTGATCTATGACCTAAGCACAATGACATGTGAATTGATACATATGACACGTGACATGTTATAATTGCACATTAAACTTTGACAACTAAATTAAGACTTGTAATAAAGGATCTGTGACCTATACAAATAAACATGTGACCAGTAGCACCTCTATACC